GGAAGAGACTTATACATATATATGGAAGATAGCGGCGACGCAGTTGCACAGCACTCACGGTACAGAATAAGAAGTCAAATGTTTGAATCTTTCTGTTTCACCTTTTTGTGCTCACACCAACGCACTTGACCAAATGACCAGTGGCATGTGTGACGACATAGCTACACAATGCTCACGGTGCAGAACAAGCAGCCGAGGCTTTTAATCTTGCTGTTTTACTTTGTTGCATCCACACCAACCAACATGACCTAATGATCAGTGACGGATTTGAGACAAACGAAGCGTTAGTAATTAATTATTTATGGATGCACAAAATGCCGTTATTGCGACTTTGGTGCGCCGAGGCCGCAATATTTTTGCCTAGGTGTAGGAAATTGAATAGTTAATTTTTGTCAAAAAAATGTATGTTTTCCTGGTAAGATCGCTAAACTACGGCAGGTGACAGTCAGGCCATGCCTTTCAGCAAAGGCAATTCCTAGGAAATAGTTCAATTTACTGCAACAATGGAGTTTTAAACGAAGTGATGCATCTTTAGTTTGTTTTTTAGACAATTACACAATTAAATGTAGGATCCCGACCAATTCCACTGACCTTTGGTCAAGTATAAATGTCAGGTCAAGGTCAAAACTAGGCCACTTGTAATAAGTTGTCAACAGGCATCTGAATTTGACTTCATAAAAGTCAGCGGAGGTCACCGACCTAACATGACCCCGACCAATCCTTTGCTTTTAAGAACATTCCGCTTAGGATAGGTCTTGACACTGACTTTAAATTCATCTGTGAAAACAGTATCGGCGGGTTTTTGATCACCTTGACCGTCTTAAGGCCGAACTAGGTCACTTGCCTGTGAAGAAAGACAGTGACCATTGGCTTAGAAAGGCATGTGGGTTAAAAGTCGTAGCATAATGCAGGGGCGGCACCACGACATTTGAGTTTGTGGGTAGGATACGCCGAGGGAGCCTTCTGAAAAAATGGGGCCTCCTCCAAGGGAGGGATCCCGGGTAGGTTTTATGTCCAAGGGCAGAGGCGCCAAAAGCAGTGACCCCTTGTCGAACTGTTGCATGTATTACGCCCAAGTAAGAAATGCCGATAGGTTCAAAATCTAAGCACGGGTGCTTCTCACTGTGCAGCAAATAGCCTTCCTAAGATAAAACAGGTCTTCCTCTTCCAAAAACGGGCCTCCCGATGCATAGAGGGACCTTCTAAGTTCTGACTCAGGACAGGATGCCTCCGATTCACGAAGGGACCCTCAAATATAGCCAAAGGGCTTCGTCATACCTAAACAGGGCATCAAAAGAGAATTTAGATGGCCTCATAATGATTATGTACGTTATATTCGTTAAGGTGGTTGCATCTTTGATGACCTTTGGTGGCGGACCTTGCTCACAGAATCAAAACGTTCCAGCGTAAAGCGGACTTGCTTGCCAGTGTTGACTACGGTATTGCCTAGGTATTGCCCCTAGCATACACGTGATCAAACTGCACCCATTTCCCACACTTTCACGGAACAAATTACAACAAATCACAGGTGGAGGTAAGAAGGACACCTCAATTCTCGTTTAATACTAACCATGCCTTACATGGTAAGCAAAGTAAGCATGTACGCGCGTTGCGGAAGCGTTGTACCATCTCCAAACAGGGCATCATCTTGATCCGGAACCACGGCCATCTGATGGATGAAAGGAACCTCCTGTTCCAGACATAGGGTCTCCTAACCCAGGACAGGGACCTCTTAGTTGTAACGGTGTCCCTCCGATCCAGCAAAGGAACCTCCTTAGGACAACACTGGGCCTCCCAATATAGAACATTGGGCCTCCTCATCTAGATCATTAGCTACCTCGGCCGTAAAGGTGTCCTCATGGTCCAGAAAACGGGTTCCTTTCTGCAGCAAGGTATCTTATGAGCCCGAATGATTGTTCCCTATCTTTGTTATGGTGGCCTCCTTGTTCTGAATTTTGATACTGTACGATGTCGGGTATCAAAACGTAAGAAAAGTTAGTGTACAATGTGCTCTACTCAAATAAGCTACAATGCCAGCTAGCTTCATTGGGTAACTACGATAGGTTTAGCTTGAGGAAAAGGGATCACAGGCTCCTTTTTGGGTGTCCCATTTTTGGGGGGCGGGGGAAACATCCTCCTACTTCCACAGCCGCCGATAGGGGGCACTGTTTGACCTTATTTGACCCAGAAATCCATGACCTAGGAAGCTCAAAATTGGAATCAAATGAGCTCATAGAGAGGTTTATCTACCCTGTGAACATGGTGTCTCTAACTCTTAAGTCTTTAAGATCTCAAGGGGGTCAAGTTAACCCTCCACCTCACAGCTCACCCCACCCCACCAGAGCACATCGCATTCAACCGGCATTCGGAGGCATGTCAATCAACCGTTTTTTTTATCTCGTTTAGTCAAGCACAAATGAAGCTTTTTCAAACAGCAAAGCAAAACCTGCCAGTACGCCGGCCTATTTCAGAACATCGCGGACACTCGCAGGCTGGAAGCCAGCTTGATGAGATCCGTGCTTACAGTTGTGGCGTTTACAGATGGCGGGACGAATGCGTTGTTTTCGTTGCGGCCTGGTCACGAATACACTACAATCTGTAGCTCTGAAAATAAGCCGCGCATATCTCCGGGGCTGACGTCGATCAGTGCGATGATAATGAAGCCATCCATGGAAAGCACAAACCAGTGGGGACCCATATGCAATGCATTAACTGGCTGGGTTGGGTACGGCCATGGTGGAACCTTAGGATGTCGACACGGCCAGGTGCAGTAACCTAAGAAAATCATGCTTGAATATTTGCAGAAATGGCATGCAAGCCTGTTGATTCTGCTGCCGGCGGGGTCGCCTGATCTCGTAGCTGTCAATAGTAGGGTAATGGGAAGAACAGGGAGCCGATATTTTTACCATTCTGATTAAAATTGCCCGACAGATTAAGTGTCCATGCCCGACCAATCACAAACAATTGCCGCCAATCACATGCTCTGAAAAGGTAAAAAGGAACAGAAAGTTAGCCCATAAGTCTTGAATCGTAAAGACGTCATTAGCCTAGCTACGTAAGCGTGCATCCTGCATGAAGCTAAATGAACACATAACGTACCAGTTGTCGGTGCATCACTCAGTTATCAAAGCATCCCTCACACTGATCTTTTTTTCTCCGCCAATTTTTTTTCTCCGCCATCTGTTTCATCAGTGCATTACATGCAGGTCCCATGAAGAAAAAACGGAGCTTTTTTAACCTTGCTTCACCTTTCCAGTGCTGGGCAAGGTCGTTGGCAGCCGCACGACGGCCCCTCTAGGCCTTGTGAAAGTTATTGATTATCCAAAGCCGGCGAGAACACTGCACTGATCAGGTAGCTCCGAAATGGGAGTGAATATGATTCGGGAGGTCGTCTCCGTTGACAGGAGTCAGTGGACGGAGGCTCAGGTGAGATGCGAGCTCTTGCAGGGTCACGGGCAACTCATCGCTCTACAGATGACACTCTTGTTGCGCGACCCTGAGCACATTTGTCGTCACTCCAACGAGGCGCACCCAGAACCTTGCTCACCAGGGGGTATCAATCTCAGGGATGCTGTGGTCGGGACGGACCGCGGCGCTTGTCCAAGCCAAGCACGCAACGGCATGGCGTTGCTGCTGACGATGTGAGAGGGTGTGCCACGGGGCGCGAAGAGGCGTTGCGGTGCGAAGATGACGCCGGCTGCACCTTGGGCTCGACTGGAGACGCGGCTTCCATCCAGGTGGTCAGCCTGTGACCCCCTGGACCCCCTCACGCCCTGACTTAAGTTTATCCAGCCCGCAAAAGCCCACGCTTTGCCTGGCTAACCCGGTCACACCCCGAACATTTTGCAAAGCGCACAGGGTTAGGGTAGCGTATGTCGACTTGCTACCCAAGTTCTTTGAAACCCAGCCAGTTGAATGAAAAGCGATCATTTTCATTTTCAACATAACACACTAACGGCATGAAAGATAAAAAACAAGCTAACAGGAGCATATTCAGATGAAAAATGTCGACATCTCCTGACATATGCCTGTAGCAGCGCCAGGTGGCTGTGACAGGTGAAGCAAATAAATAAGGCGCCAACCACGATGCGTGGTTTTATATCTCGTCCGCCATTTATATTGGCACTATAGAGCAGGCGCATTGAGGAGCCTGAGGACCGAACAGTAAGGACACTCCTTACATCTTCGGCAGGCGAGCCGTGGATAGGACACTACATGATCCGTCACCTTTCCTGCTCAAAGGCTGACAGTTTTTCGTTCCATCTCAAGGTGTTGAACGGCTGCCATTCCGGCGAAACGGGGGCGGAGCCCCCAGGTCGATCCGCAAGCGCTCGTATATGAGGGCTCACATATGAGGGCTAGTGTGGGTATAACTACCCCCGTGGTGTGACCTATAGGTATAGACCGTATGGTGCGAGAACATGCAAGCAGACTGCTGCACTGTGGTCCACTTCGGTCCTGGACCGCTACACTGGGGTCCACTTTGGTCCCGGACCGCTACAGTTGGGTCCACTTCGGTCCCTGACCGCTGCACCGTGCTCCACTTCGGTCCCGGACCGCTGCACTGTGGTCCACTCCGGTCCCGGACCGCTGCACTGTGGTCCACTCCCGTCCCGGACGGTCGCATGGGGTCCGCTTTGGTCCCGCACCAGCTTGGACGCTGTCATCAGAGGAGGCAAAGCATGGCTGACCTTTTTCGTTAGCCGTTCGGCTACGCTTGGTATTGACCATGTTCCGGCTGTTGGATCTGCAGCCTGTTACCCAAAATGGCTTGGAGCAATGCAAGTCACAGGCCATCATCCCAAGCGGCATATTACGCCAATAAGCGAGCTATAATTTGATCTCTGGCATTCTGTCCCGACGGTCAGGTCACAGTTTAGAGGCAAGCGGAATTTTTCCGTTGCGGTGCAGGGCACGCGGCCATTGGCTGGCCAGGTCACGTGACCCCTGGCCTGGGGCACGGCCGGCCAGGTCAACCGCTCAGTGCGCGGGCAGTGGGTGAGGTGGTGGCGGCGGCGGGGTCTGCTGCGATGCCGGGAGCGCGCGAGACCGAGGTGCTGGTGCCAGACGGCACCGGCGGGCGGCGCCCCTCCGGCTACGGCGCCTGCCCAGACGATGACCTCGGCTCGCAGGCCGACACCGAGTCGGGCAGTTCCAGTGAAGACCCGTACTACAAGCCAGGTGGGTGCGCCGCTTGCATGGCTGCTCCGTGATGCACACTGACGTGCATCGTCGGGCTATGGAAACTCCTGAGGTTTTCCAGATGTAATTCATGAGCTGGTGAACGTGCGTGCTGAAATTTTCGGTATTTGGATTTTACCATTTTCACAGCCAATTACCGCCGTTCCGGCGAGTCCCATTAAACCTAGTCTGCGCAGGAGGCGGGGCAGATTGCCCCCTCCCCAGGCCTCTGAGGGTGCTGAACTATTGAGATGATTATGAAAACCAAGTGCCCTTTATTTCTTGTCGCTGAGGCCAATGTTCCTGGAAGTGAAAAACTGATCGAGGCAACGTGGGGCAAAACCCATCATGTCTCTGGGAATTTGTGTACGATGCCGTCGTCCTGCTGTCATGTGACGCCCATGTTGTCGTGTTGTAATGTCAGGTTATTACTTAAAATGTCGCCCACTCGTTTAAGGAATGTCCTTGAGTTCCTTGACGTGCTTTCCACGTAGCAGCGTTTGCATTTCTTTGGACGAACGGCTTTTGCTTGGCAGGTCTTCTGCCCACCCGGTTACACAGTTTCGGAATGCAATTACAGATCGTAGTGTCCTCGGAATTACATGTGACAGTGATTAAGGTCGGGCGTGGAAGGGAATATCGTGCCAGCGGTTTTCTGTTACCATTTTTAGCTCCCGGATACACGGAGATCAATGCTGCTAAAATGGTAAGCTTCCCGAATGAGTTCAGGGCGGCCAACGATAAACCTAATACCACGACTTGTTTGCGGTCCTGAAGCAGCAAAAGGCCAGAACCATGATTAATTTACGACTGCCATTTACGATGCATTACTTATTGCCTCTCCTCCATGTTGTGTCTGGTAAATATCACATTTTGGCCTACATCGCCAGCACGCGTCACATGATATATCATCGGTTAATTAACAAAGCATAATAAATACAAGTTAAATGGTAACTCGTTGCAGTCACGTCGCTAAATGGCCTGTCACACCATAACAGAGATTGGTATAAACCACTTAAGTCTAGCTCTTATTACCTAGATAACTACCTAAGTTACCTAAGCATTACTAAGTTACCTAAGATAACTTGGTCAACAATATTGATACTGAAAATGTTTACCAACGCATGAAAAATTTTGAATGAAATGGACGAAGGCATGGGTGTGGGAACGGGAGGGGGTGGGAGAGGGCAAGAGGCCAAGTTCCCCTACTTTCAGGGTGGGTGGCCTTGTTACATTCATTGTTTCACCCCTGTCTTTCAGAATGTCTCTGTTTCGCTTTTGTTATGCTTGGCCTAGGCGCGTATGTCGCTTCGTCCCAGTCAGTTAGCAATCCCCCTCAATGCTCACTGGATAACATTACGTAATGTTGTAAATGACAAAACAATTTGCTATCATGCACAGCAGACGAATGACGGCATTTTGGGGTAAACTCCGGCACAGTCCAGTAATCAAATATACGCTCTGTCTGTAGTTATAGCCTTAAGTCTTCTGCCCGCCCACTTACTGTGCCTCCAGGCTGGGTTCGTGATGTTCAAGATGCATATTTTGTGGGCGTTTGGCGCGGTCCGGCATTTTAGAGAGAAAGGCTGAGTGCCTCATAAATACCGATGTCTCCAGCATGAATTCATAAAACCACTACGAACCTGAACATTGTGCGCGCCATTACGCTGGATGAAAATACCAGACGTTTGTTGGAATGCTCACGAGGACGCGAGCGTTTTCCGTAGGCACCATTATTCGCACACTTGCCTGGCGGGGGTAATGCAGATGAAAGTAAGCATTGTGTAGTCGTTTATAGTCTGGCTTTTCCGGAAAAAGGTGGGCGCTTCATGGTCATAATGCTGTATATCATTTTTACGCCGTTTGTGAACGTCCATAAAAAGTATGGGGCTTTCAACCCAAGCCTGACTGAACCGAGTATAGATCTTGTGGTGTCATTGCTTTATGCCTGCTGTTCCATGCTGATTGAATAATCGGTACCTTTTGTTCATTGTGATTTTCGCCTCTTCATTGTGCTTATTGCGTCTATCAGTAAAATCGTTTTGAAACCGTATTAGGATCTCAGTCTTGATATTCCGTGTGACCGTAGACTCTAGGGCACTTTCAGTACATACTGGTAAGTGTTTCAGCCTCATCTTTACAGAAAGTGCGTTTATCATCGTCCTTCGCCTTAATTACTTTCAGATATCTGTTGGTTGTAGGGATGCAACTGGTAAGAGTAAAGTAAAAAATTCTGGTAGTGTTGAATGTGTGGCATTTATGACTTTTGTCATGCTGTTCTCCTCGAAACATCCTATGTTCCCTACGAAACATCCTGCGTCCCATTTCTCATCCTGGCGTTCGTTTTCTCGACGTATGCTACTACGTTCAGACCGTATGTATGTATCATACGTTAATCGTGAAAATGCTGGATGGTTCATCACAAGATTTCTTCTGAATGGCAAGACGGGTTTTGCAATCACAGTAGACGATTTTTTTGACACACTGGGGAAGACTTCACATCAAGCCATCTAAGGTTCGCTTTGTATGAAGCTTTTACTTGTTCTCGTCTCCTAGGTCAATCGGGGACCTTTTCGGTCCCAGTCGCTGATAACCGTATGATTACATTTGTGTGGTTAGAGAACCAAATAGTTTCAAAGAAAATTTGTGTCATACGTGGAAAGTAGTCACGGTTGAAACATTTTAATTCGGTGGAAGTCTTTTGCATCTTTTTACCTCCGACACACAATATGTTCTAACAGAACGGTAATTCATTTGCTGCTATGTGTGCCGAGACTGCATTCACAGTAAGTAGTTTCTACAGCCATGTAAGTCTCAAACTGCATTTAAACGCCTATATGCCACCCATGCGCAATCCACCGTGTTCGAAATTTGGAATTACTTCGGCACGTTTTATGGGGTTTTGCTTGCATCCCCACAAAAAGGAATAGAAAAGACGTTGAATGTGCTTCAAAGTTTTAAGGGGTGGGCTTGGTAACGCGGTGAGCAGATGAACTGGGATCGGTTTGATAACGCGGTGAACAAATGAACTTAGAAATACGTAGGGTCTTTACCACCGTAAGCTCTCCTAAAGCAGTGAGCTTTCTCCTACGCCACTGGGTAAGCTCTTTTTCTATATGCAGCAGCTTTGGCCCGATGTTAGTTTGCGTTATGTTAGTGATACTGCCTGAAAACGTTATCCCCTAGACCTCCATCTGGTGCACATACGTAACACCGAGGCTGTTCTCAATGTCCCCTTGTAATGGCGCGTTAATTGTAAAGCATGACATGTTTTGTACGGTTGGCATCAAACTAGAAAACGACAAGTGTTTTTAACGTGTTTAACGCGCCGTCAAGCCAAGCAGATCATATATCAAGAGAATACCGTGTCGTTTGCATACTGCGATATTCATGCTTCAGTGTTCTCTGCTACCTGAATGCCGCTTAGTAGATTAAATTGCAATATTTGGCTGACAAGCACATGACTGCAAGGCTGAAAAGACGGTCCGAGGCTGGGTCTCCCTGTCGTATGTCGCATTTAGGTAGATTTTATCGCCCAGGCATCCCGTGAGAGTTATTCTTGAAAAGTTTTCAGAATTCAAATGCAATAGATTAATCAAAGTTCTGAAATATGCTGCAAAGCCGCATTTTTTGGGCACCGTAGAAACACAATCCCATGATAATGAATCCAACACCACTTCGAAATCAGCTGACATGATCAACCCAGACTACTCTTTTAATGACCATCTGCTAATTACATCAGATATCAAGCGCGTGTTTCTCCAATATATCGTCCCTTGATGTTTGCCGTTTGACATGGATAATATCGTCCCGTTTGACATGGATAAACGAGCGTACCTATGACGCAGCTGCGGCCTGGCTGCAATTGCGGCGGACATAATTTTGAAGTCGACATTTAGCAACGTGATTGGGCTCCACGGTTTTACGTCATCAGGTGGCTTACCAGCTTTCGATCACTGCTATGATGCCCTCTTCGTGAGGCCTCGGTGTGCTATGCGCCTAGGGAAAAGAGCACTAAAGCCTCCACGGAGGAATGGTCCTAATTTGTTCCAGAAGTATTTGAAGAAACATGATGTTTAACCATTCGAACCAGGTTATTTTTCTTTTTCATCTTTTGCAGTGATTCTGTAAACTCCTCAGAGGACGATGGCTGATCTAGGGAGCATGCTCTCTTCGGCATCTAATGATGTGCTTTTTCATCAAGAAATCTATCGAAGTCTTATGGTGTGCGATGCGCCTTGGTGTACTTTTAAAGATCCTAAGAGAAAGGTTTAAGTATTGGTCAGCTTCGTGACATTTTTGTTCACGAATCTCAAGAACAGACACCAATTGTCTCATGACACTTTCTTTTCCAAACTTAGAAAATATTTGGAATGTTTTTCACCATCTTCATGTCACACGGTTCTAGATCTTGCGATGAGCCCATCGATTTTAGGCTCCAGCGTTTTCAAGCTATTTTTCACATTCACGTAAGTGGAATGCATTTGCTTCCGATTTTATGCGGTAATATTTTGCGTGGGCATTGGCCATGCGGATAATGAGTCTTATTCCCTTTCATTCATTTATTTTGCTTTTCGTTTAGAAAACCTTACAGTTTCTCCACAGATCATCATCAGATGTGTTCTGTTAGAATAAATCATTGATGAAAAATTGGACATCTTTACAATTACGAATGTCCGGACAAGGAATTTGTGGAGTAAACGGATAGAGCATAATGTTCTTCTGTTTGTTCGATGCAGTGGCCTGCCACGTTTATGTATTCATCATCATTAAGGAGCGAGTCATTAAATTTTCATGACCCGCGACCTCGCTGCGACTCGCCGGCCTGCAGACTCATTTATGTGGTGCTACGGTCTGTTCGATAGCGAGGAAATAATAATGAACATTATGGCATGGACCTGACAAATGGTAACTAACGAAAAACATCTAATCTGGCTGCCTTGTTGGGAGCTGATTTAGTCCATGTGAATTACCGTTCGTTGGCTTTATGATGCCTCCAC